GCGCCATGGGTGGCCAGTGGCACAGACATCGACTAGACAAAAAAGAAATAATTTGACGCAATCCCCCCCCCCCACATCCTGCCCCCTTCCTTCGGACATCTAAGCGTCACAGCGAGGCGTCGTTTTGTGCCAGCGAAGCACCGCTACCATCTACCGAAAAAGCAGTCTCCTCCAACTCGCTTTGGGGGTCTTCCCATCCTTTCCTTTTGTGCGCTGAAAAAGACCGCGAGGGTTCGCTGCTTCGAGCAGGCATTTTTTGGTTTCCTTCCGACGTCGCGGATGCTGGTCATCTTTGACGAGTTATAGCCCTGCTTCTCCACTGGTTAGAGGCGTCTGTTGTTCCTCGGGACAATTTTCTGATCATCGGCAACACTGATTTTTCGATAATATACACCGGAATATGCATCCTGCGGTCAGGTGATGATAACCTCGAAAGGATACTTAACGACGGAGGACTGGGCTTCTGTTTGCGAAGAGGGAGCGTGGGCCAAATAGGGATCGGCTGGGACATGCGTATTTGCGTATTTTTAAATGCCGGCAACTAGTATTTGTCCATCGAAGGAATAACGAGGTTTGGCTCTACAGCTCTACCTGATTGACCCTATATGGTTAGATTTGTAAGCAAGTTTTGGCAGATGCGAATAAGTTGACTTTGCAAATATCATGCATTTGCACCTTCCTCACCATTTGAATCCATCGAGTGACTGTGCCACGAGGGTAGGGTTGCTTATGAGTTGGCCTCGGTTACTTCAGTTATCAGTTCCCGCACGCTTCCCTGCGCGTGCTTCGAGCCCTGCTTGCGCCCTCTTCATTGCCTTAATTCATCGATCGGCTATGTAGGCTTGCTAATGGAATTGTTCGGATAGATTGGAACTCCGTCGGTTACACTACAATGGCCACGCACTGCGAATTACCACCCAGTCCTCTCCGTGGCCTTCCCGTAGTGATCGCAACCTCCTTATCCTCATAATCCAGCAAGCAGCTGTGCCGAAGGGAAAATGTGTGCACTCCACCTTCACGCGCTTCCCTGAGCGTGCTTCGAGCTCTCCTTGAGCTCTCTCTCCCTTCCTGAGTGGTTAAATTAGGTATGTTAATTAATATTGATTTAGTAATCTAAGCAAATAGTATCAATCAAGCGGGCTGTAGAACCAAAGCTCGCGGAAGGAATTATTAGAGGGCATGTTAGGTGTTCTTTCCATGTACTTGTGAAGGTAAGCAAAACGGATTTCTCCTAATCATCAGTTTTTCTTTTCTTTCCCTTTATAACTGGTGGATTATCAACCCTATGCACCCGTTATTATCGAAGGCCAGTAGGTTATATTATGGTCATTTGGAAGCCAGGGTTTGCCTAACCTCAAAGACCACTGTTGAGCTTTCGAGAAGTCATTGAAGTCTATGACTGGCATTAAACAACCGTGGTTGTTGTTTACTAGATAACGCTACAGCTGAGATCTCCCCTTTCAGCATTCCTTGTTGCGGTGTAAAATACCAGACTCGTCCCTAACTAAGGATATGTAATGCGCTTCCTCCCTTCCCGCTTCTAAAGTCCTCGTCATCGTCCTCGCTCAGCCGACCTGCGCGTGACCTGGCAGACGTGAACAAATCTACGGTTCCGCGAAGTGTCTCACCCCTGGCTGCCGCAGCCGCCACCGCCGGCGCCGGCGCCGCCGCCCCGGATACGGAGCGAGACTTCGAAGGAGAGCAATTACAACAGAATCGTCCTGTGGACTCTCGGCGGGATATCGTTGTCCTGCTGACTACGACGAATTTTGACGAGGGTGCCGGCAGTATGGCCATCCCAGCTTCCATCTGCACCCCCAGGGCCACGGCTGTGCTCAAGGTGAGTTTTGTTACTGCTACAGTCACTGTTTCGAAGTATCCGCCTTTCCCTGCCGTTCTCAGAAAAGACCTCATATTTGCTCAAATCACCGCGAGACCGGTCTTACTGCCATTTGTAATGTTTTTACACGTGCCTGCGGGTACCGGCAGGTGTGGGGGAAATGCCATTAGGGTTTGCGCGCAGTACCCTTCAGTTGTCAACTGTTTTGTTTGACTCAAAAATGCATTGACACGCCTATGCCCACACCCTGCGAAAGCAGTGCTGATAATGACGAACTTATACACCTCATTTTGCTGGGCGCGCTCGATAAAACAAATCCCGGAAAAAGATGCTACAAAGTGTTGAGACCATCAGCAAGTGTCTCCGTGGGTCAATTCATTTTCATCGCGTCTGTTTGATGCAAAAGATCCCGAATGTAGCCTGTGGTTACTACTTATTTGGGTGTTTTATGGATCGGGTATTTGTTGGAATATGAATGTGATTTCTGACTTGCACTTGTACTTGTACTTGATACGGCTGCGATCATGCCTGATCTAACCGGCCTCGATGATGTCCCGATCCGCGGCAGCAGATCTAGACAGCTCAACTCATTCCCTTCGCCAACGACGGAGACCGAATACCAAAGGTCCAAGAACCACCTCCATGTCTTGACGGACAGTGCCGAGCCAGGTTTTGAACTGACCCCCTCTTCGACGCCTCCAATTGGGCAACGGTGCAGGATCGACGTCAGTAACACTGAGCTACTGAGGTGGACGACGAAGAACATGCCCGAACCACCTCAGTCGTCTTTCTTGGATGGCCTGAGTTATCCTCGCGATGTTGTCGCAGCGAGCGCGGACTATCTCATTTGAGACGAAGTCGGTTAACTTCACTCGAAGGATGATCCTCAAGTAGTGGTGGTCAAATACCTCCAGTTTTCGCTCATCCGCCACGCGCAAAGCCCAGAATTCGCAACCGTAGAGAAGGGGAGACCGGACAGATGCACGGTACACGCGAATCTTAGTGGCGATGGAGAGGTCACGTCGGTTCCACAGGCATTTCCGAAGGCTTGAA